CTACAGGAGATTTATTCCTCGCCCGCCCACGCAGCTTCGCCTCGCCCGCACGCACGGCACGCACGAACACGAAACCGAAACCGATTTCCCGGTAGGGGGGCTCTCCGTTCCACTTCGATCTCACCCCCTCACCTCCGATGTATGTTACTCCAGAGAAGAACCCCAATCCGTGGATTGCTTGAAAATTAGTAGTATGGATATTGAGATCGATTGTGATATCGGTCGTGAGATCGATGGTGGAATCGATCGAGGACGATTGTAAAATCGATCGTGAAACCGATATTGAAGTCGTTTCAATGAGATCGATCGTGAGATCGATAGTGAGATTGCTCGTGCGATTTATAGTGAGATCGATTGTGAGGTCGATAATGAGATCGATTGTGAGATCGATGGTGAGATCGGAAAGAGCGCGTTCTGTGGGCGCATGGAGGTGGGGGTGGTTTGGAACCGAACCCCCCCCCCGCTGGATTGAAGGGGGGAGGGCTTCGAACCCCCTCCCCCTCCCCCCTGCGTCATGGGGGGGGGGGGGGAGCCCTCCCCACTTCTTCTTACCCCCTCACCTACGGCTCCTCTCTCCCTCTCCTCGGGCCGGCGCCTGCGTCGGCGGCGGCTGGCGGCGGTTCTGGGCGGGCCCTGGCGCGTACGGCGGCTGGCGGTGGGGAGCGTCGACGAGGATGACGTCGACGGCTATGGTGGTGGTGGAGGTTGTGGTGGTAGGTTGTGGTCGTGGTGAAGGTGGTGCTTGTGGCGGTGGTGGTGGTGGTGGTGGTGGTTGTGGTGGTGGTTGTGTGGTGCTTTGTCGTGGTGGTGGTGGTTGTGGTGGTGGTTTGTGGTGGTGGTGGTGTTGTGGTTCGTGGTGGTGGTGGTGGGTTGTGGTGGTAGTGGTGGTGGTGGTTGTGGCGGTGGTGGTAGTGGTGTGGTGGGTTGTGGTGGTGGTGGTGGTGGTAATGGTGGTGGGTTGTTGTGGTGATGGTGGTAGTGGTGGTGTGTTGTTGTGGTGGTGGTGGTGGCTGTGGTGGTGGTGGGGTGGTTTGTGGTGGTTGTGGTGGGTTGTGGTGGTGGTGGTGGTGGTGGTGGGTTGTGGTGTTTGTGGTGGTGGCGGTGCTGGTGCTGGTGGTGGTGCTGCTGCTGGTGGTGGGTGGTGGGTGGTGGTGGTGGTGTTGGCGGTGGTGGTTGTGCTGGTGGTGTGGTGGGATGTGGCGGGTTGTGGTGGGTTGTGGTGGTCGTGGTGTTGGTGGTGGCGGTTTGTGGTGGCGTGTTGTGGCGGTGGTGTGGTGGTCTGTGGTGGGGTTGGTGGGTTGTGGTGGTGGTGGGTTGTGGTAGTGGTGGTGGTGTTGGTGGTGTGGTGGTTTGCGGTTGTGGTGCTGGTGGTTATGGTGGGATGTGGTGGGTTGTGGTGGGTTGTGGTGGTCGCGGTGTTGGTGGTGGCGGTGGTAAGTTATGGTGGTAGGTTGTGGTGGACGTCGAAGACGTCGACGTCGACGTGGTAGGTTGTGGTGGTGGTGGAGGTGGTGGTTGTGGCGGTGGTACAGTACATCGACAAACTGTTACACCACCTGGCGCGGACAATAGCGCGCACCGCTTACGTATATGACGCTTGCTTCCCCCCCCCTCCCCCCGATCTTAGTATTGGGTTCGGCCCGGGCGAGTCGAAACAGCTCGGTGGTGCAACATTCAGTCGAGAGCCCCCGGCGGAGCCCAAAGGCTCTTCGCTATGCACCCAATATCAAGATTGGGGGGAGGGGGGGAGGAGCAATGCAGTATACGTGCCAAGGCGCGGCAAAAAGTGGTGCAACCTTTTGCCGATGTACAGTAGTGGTGGCGGTGGTGGTGGTGGCTGTGTGGTGGTTTGTGGTGGTGGTGGTGGTGGTTGTGGTGGTTGTGGTGGTTCGTGGTGGTGGTGCCGGTGTGAAATTTGCGGTGGTGGTGGTGGTGGGCCGTGGTGGTCGTGGTGGTTGTGGCGGTGGTGGTGGTGGTGGTGTGGTGGATTGTGGTGGTTGCGGTAGTAGTGGTGGCGGGTTGCTATTGTAGTGGTGGTGGTGGGTTGTGGTGGTGGGTTGTGGTGGGCTGTGGCAGTGGTGGTGGTTGTGCGGTGGTTTGTAGTGGTGGTGGGCTGTGGTGGTGGTGGTGGTGGTGGTAGTGGTGGTGGCGGTGGTGGGGGTGATGGTGGTGTGGTGATTTGTGGTGGTGATGGTGGTGGTTGTGGTGGGTTGTGGTGGGTTGAGGTGGGTTGTGGTGGGTTGTGGTGGGTTGTGGTGGGTTGTTATGGTTGTTATGGTTGTGGTGTTGGTGGAGGTCGTGTAGTGGTTTGTGGTGGTGCTGGTGGTTGTAGTGATGGTGGGTTGTGGTGGTTGTGGTGGTGGTGGTGGTGGTGGTGTGGTGGTTTGTGGTGGTGGTTGTGGTGGTGTGGCCTTTGGGTCTTCACGCCACCGTGGTTTGGCTTTGGGTCAGAGTTCACATGGATGCCTCTTGGGGTCCCGTCAGAGGGGTCTCGGGGGCGCCTGAGGAGCATGTGTGAGGGCTCCTGGGTGCCTCTCGGGCGTCTCCTGGAACTTACTAAGGGCACATGGTGGCTTTTGGGGGGCGAGGGATCAATGTAGCGATTTGTATCTTCCCGCTGCGGCTTCTGGGCTCTCTGGAGTCATCGTCGCTGCGTCCCCGTCGTTGGTGCTGCCGGCCGCCGCCAGCGCAGGCGCCAGCAACGGCACCGAAGGGGGGCCCCCTCCCCCCCCCCCCAGGAAGCCGGAACAGAAACGATTGGGGGAGTTAGAATATCATACTCTTTTCCTAGGGGGGGCGGGGTGGACACCCCTCCCCTTGGGGAGGGGCGGGGGTTCGGGGGGAGGGAAGTCCCCTGGTTCTGATCGACGGCGCCGAATGTTGGGGGGGGGGCGGTTCGAAACCCGCCGCCGAATGTTCCCAAGGCAAGCGCCCGTGAAACGCGCTCTCTCTGAGATCGATAGAAAAGGTGGGTAATGACATCGATTGTGAGACTGATCGTTAAGAGTATCGGCCAGGAGCCCGGGAACCTGGAAACCCCGCCGGCCACCGAAATCGTCCCGGAACCCGGAACCGGGAACCTGGGAATCTGGAACCGGGAAGCCGGGAACCCGGCCGCCCACCGAAATCGTCCTGGCCATTTCGCCAAATCCTTCAATCTACGCTACGACCCCTTCAGTGCAAGCACTGTTTTGGGAATATATATGTATATATATGTATATACACATGTGTGCAATATTGCATTGGCGCTTCGCACCATGCACCTTGGTTCTTGAAGTTTGGTGTGCAGGCGGAATGGCAGGGGGTCGAACCGACAACTTAGCGATATCTCCTTGTTGCCTTTTCCGGTATCGCCGGCATAATTATGTTATTCGTTACCTTTCCTCCATGCTTCTTCTTCCTCATATTCGCCCTACCCTGCGTATTCCCCCATCCTCCTCAGCTCTTTTTGCGGAGGCTCCTCCTTTGAGAGCCTCTGGGGGCCTCGCAGAAGTTGTTCCGGCTTTTTTAAGGCCTTCTGAAGGCCTCCTGGGCGTCTTCTGGGGGCCTCTGGGGGCTTCTTCGAGCCACCCTGTCTCCAACCGCGGTCTCTGAATGCTTGGAGGGCCCCAGACACTCAGGAAATCTTCGATCATCGAACTTCGAATCTAGATCCATTGCCTGTCTCTCTCGATCGAGGAATTTAAACCTCGAGTCTCAAACGTGGAACCAATATCGTCGGGTCAGTTCGATGTACTTCGTAGGAGAACGCCGTCTGGGCGTTTTTGGGGCTCTGTTGGGCCGTCCTGGGGCCTTCTTGGGCCGTCCTGGGGCCTTCTTGGGCCGTCTTGGGGAGTTGGGGCCCTCCAGAGGTCTTCTGAAGCCATCTAGGGCCCGCATGGGGGCCTCCAGTAGCCTTCTTGGGGGTCTCCCGTGGCTTTCGTGGGTCTCTCTTGGGAGCCTTCTGGGGGCATCTTGGGCTTCTTGTGGGCAGTCTCAGGGCTCTCTGGGGCAGTCTTGGGGCTGTTGGGCCGTCTTCAAACCCTCTGGGGGGCTTCTTGGGCCGTCTTGGGGCGATCTCGGGGGCCCATCGGGCCGTCTTGGACGCTGCGAAAACCAAAAAACCGGACACGCCAAGAATATACATCTTCTCACGGGAATGGGACGATTTTTGCTTCTTCGGGGCTCTCTTCACGGCCTCTTGGGGCGTCTTGGGGGCCTCTTGGGCCGTCTTCAGGGTTCCTCTTCGAGCGCTCTTGTGCTGTCTTGGGTCTCTCGTGTGCCTCTCCGATGACCCCTCTGATCGCCTTGAGTCTGTTCGCAAGGCCCGGCAAGGCGCCCTGGGAAGCCCGGAAGGGCCAGCGGACCTTTTCCAAGGGCGTCCAGGGGGCCGCCGAAGCGTCCGAAAGGGCGTCCGGGGCGTCCCGAGGGGGGGGGGGGTCCGGTTTAGGGGTGGGAGGGTGGGGGGGTGGTGTTGGGGGTTTCCGGGTCATACAAGTATAGGAAGAGGAATATTTGTCCAAGGGAAGAGCCCATGAAACGCGATCTCTCGAAGCTAGACCCCCTCTCCCCTTTTAGGCTTCCAGGGTGAGCCCGGGCTCTCCTTTCGTCGAATCGGGGGGGGATCAGCAGCCTTTTTCCTCTGCGCAGCAGGGGGTCGCCGGTCAAAGGGGGGGGGAGCTTCCGAAGCTGCACCCCCCCGTCCCCCTTCTTCGGGGCTGGGGAGAACCTTGGGTCCACCCTTGCAGGGGGGGGGGGGGGTCGGAAACTCCCCCCCCTCTCCTCCCTTTTTGTAGGTTTGCGCGAAGTCTCGTCGTTCTCGTCGTTCTCGTCGTCGTTCTCGTTCGTCGGATTCGTCGTCATCGTCGTCGTCGTTGTTGTCGTCTTCGTCGTCGTGTTTCTCGTCGTCGTCGTCGTCGTTGTCGCCCTCGTCGTCGCCGCTGCCGTCGTTATCGTCCTTGTCGTCTTCGTTGTCGTCATCGTGCGTCGATGTCATTGTTTACCAGAATACTACATGCTGCAGGCGTTGTCCGCTTGCAGCTTATTCGCCGGACGAAGTAGGGAACATTACTCGGAACCGATCCGCGCGACTTTGTGCAATGTATTGATCGTGATCGCGGCCGCGAGGGTTGCTTTGTCGCCATCGACGTCGCCGCTGTCACCGCCATCCTCGCATCCAGGGCGAAGCCGCTCGGCTGCTTGCTCGGTCCTGATTTCCAGATCCCGATACCGAACGCCAACAACGACAGAAACTGAAGGGCTCTGTCTGGGCTCTATGACCTTGTGGGTGACGGGGGCGCGCTGGTGAACCGTCGCAAGGTCGACCTCTCGAGCGTGGGCTTCGATGCTGTCCGCGCCCAGCTGGCTGCTGCCTGCCCCGTGCAAAAAACCAGCGACGCCGCGCCGAGGACGCGCGGTCCAACCACCGCTCCGGTCCGCCCCCGCCAGTGCCCGGAGCTGAGGGTGCGCGATGCGGCGCAGGCGGCGCCGGCTGCGCAGGCGCGTCAGAGCACAGAGTGCAGACATCGCCCCGCCACGGTGGCATTATCGCGCGCGCCGCGGGTGCTGTCGCTTCATCAGCGCAGGTGCCGCGCATGATTCGGCGCAGGCGCCACAAGCGCGCCGGATTATATTGAGGCTTCGTTTCGACATCGAGTTTATAGCGCAGGCACCGCCAGGGGGGGCTTGCTTCCAACCGGGGTAGTGGAAGGAGGGGGAGTCGCTTGCAGTGGTCGCAGGAGGAAAAGGGGGGAGGGATATAGGGTTTTCGGCATGGGAAGCCGAAGGAAAGGGGGGGGTCGCTTCCGGAGCGCGGAAAGAAAGGAGTAGGGGAGGTGAACAGGGGAAGTAGCTGAGGGGGGAACCCTCTATGGCGCTGTCTTCCGTGGCGCGCTCTCCAATTCCCCAAAACACTGCTTGCACTAAGGGATTCTTATTTGTTTTCTGCGGAGCTAGACTCGTGCGTCTGGTCAGCCGCCTTGATGCCGCTGTTGCTGCCCCGTCGCCGTCGCGTCGCCACCCGTCGTGAGGGTTCGATTGTCGGGTCCGCCGCCTTGTTGCTGCCGTCGCCGCCCCGTCGCCGCCTCGTCGCCGCCCGTTGTCCGGGATAGCTTGTCGGATCTGCCGCCTCGTTGCCGCCGTCGCCACCCTGTCGCCGCCTCGTCGCCACCCGTCCTCTGGGCTCGTTTGTCGGGTCCGCCGCCTTGTTGCCGCCGTCGCCGCCCCCCATCGCTGCTTTGTCGCGTCTGGGCTCGTCTGTCTGGTCCGCCCGGCCTCTTTGTTGCCGCCGTCGCCGTCCCGTCGCCGCCTCGTCGCCGCCCGTCGTCTGGGCTCGTTTGCCGGGTCCGCCGCCTTGTCGCCGCCGTCGCCTCCCTGTCGCCGCTTCGTCGCCGCCCGTCGTCTGGGCTTGTTTGCCGGGTCCGTCGCCGTGTTGCCGCTGTCGCCTCCCTGTCGCCGCCTCGTCGCCGCCCGTCGTTTGGGCTCGTTTGCCGGGTCCGTCGCCGTGTTGCCGCCGTCGCCTCCTCGTCGCCGCCCGTCGTCGGGGCTCGTCTGCCGGATGCGCCGAGCTCTTTCCGCCGTCGCCGCTCTCCGTCGCCGCCTCGTCGCCGCCCGTCGTGTCGGCTCGTGGGTCGGGCCCGCCGCTTCGTTGCCGCCGTCGCCGCCCCGTCGCCGCAGCAGGGAGGCAACGCCCCGAAGCCCTCGCGGCCAGAGGGCTGGTGGGATTTCGCCGGTCGGCGCTGGCCCTCGACCCCCCCCCTCCCCTCCTGTGACTGATTTCGGCGGCTGGCTCAATCGGGCGAAGCAAGCGCCGGGGCCGGGCCCCTCCAAATAATGGCACGATGGTGCGTGACTTCTTGGATCACTTTCGGGAGACTTGCGAAATCGCTCAAGGTGGAACGATTCACGCGGTGTCATGAACCAAGGCTGGGGTCGTCACGACACGGACCTCCCGTACTCTCGTCCCTTCGGCCGCAGGCCGTAATTCGGAATCAAGAGGCGCTTGCCCTCAGAGGGCGAAGCCCTCCAGATGTGGATGCTGATTTGCGCGGATCTGCATATCCAGTTGCTTACGGCATGCCCCGCCACAGTGTTGGCCCAGCATCACTATGCGCGTAGGCTGGGTCTGCTGTAGCGAAGGCCCACCATGATGTTAGCACGGTGTCCAAATCTTTCAACGTGGCCTTCGTGGGCCCAGGACGATCTCTTGCGCCGTCTTGGGCGCTGTGGTTCTATCGACCTCGTCCGACAAATAAGCTGTATGATCAACTCAGGGCCTTAAAGTTCTCTGGAACCGTCTTGGAGCCGTCTTGGGCTCGTCTTGGCCCAGCACTGGGGCTTGGGTTTCGGCGTCTCGGGTTCCGCCTGGGGGGCGGGCATCTTGGGTGCATTGTGGACGGCTCGCGACCTTTGAGCGCGACGACTGCCCACACACACAGAACATTGAAGCGCGCGCTTGTCAGTTTGCTGAACTCCAAGTGGCTTCTATGGCGCGACGGCACGATGGGAAAGGGAGGGGCCTTGGCGGCTTCTTAGGAGGAGAATGCTTCTCAGAAGGCGCCAGCCTCACATCTGCAGAGCAGGCCCGCGCCTTCCAAGAAGCTGGGGTGCTTCAAAGATGCCCTCCCCTCTCCCCCTACCCCCCTCTGCGCGCCGCCGAGGGCCGCGGAAGCACCTCGGCGCGTGCGGCGGAAGCGTCTGGCCGCGTCCCCCCGAGACCCACGAAGTGCCAGAGGGCAGAGAAGCCCGCGGCGACCCTCCTGCCCGCCGAGAGGATCTCGGCGACATCATCGGCAGCATGGAGGTCGCAGAGGCCCGCTCCCGGAAAGTCGACCCATGCCTCTCCGCCCTCCAGGAGCAGGAGGAGGAGGAGGAGGAGGAGGAGGACGACGAGGATGAGGAGAAGGACGAGGACGAGGAGGAGGAGGAGGAGGAGGCGGAGGAGGAGGAGGAGGAGGAGGAGGAGGAGGAGGAGGCCTGTTGTGTGTGCGGTGGTTGAGCGCGTGGGCGCGCTCGCGGGCTCTCGCGCGGGGCCGCGCTGGTCGTGGCCGGAGAGGGGGGGTTGGGCGGGGAGCGGGCTGCTCGTCGGCGGCGCGCAGGGGGGGGGCAGGGCGAGGGGGGCAGCCGTCTGGAGGAGGAGGAGGAGGAGGAGGAGGAGGAGGAGGAGGAGAAGGAGGGGGAGGGGCAGGGCTGCCCAATCCTCGGCAGGATCGAGACGGGCACGGAGAGGCTGGGTGCGAAGATCGACGGCAGTGCCTGCCCATTTGGGCCAGGACTCGCTGTCGACATCGGCGTCGCCGCGGACGGTGCCCGTTTGAGACACGAGGCCGGCCGCCCAACAGCGGCCGCCGTCGGTTTTGGGCAACATGTGTTGTTTGGCAGCGTGCTGTTTTTTTCCGGAACCATCTCGGGCGTCCAGAGAAGCAGAGGCGAAGGGCTTCTCAGAAGCGTTCCTGTCCCCTCTTCAGAAGTTCCCATCTCTCTCAAAAGGCCACTGTTAAGTCGGGCCTGTCCCTCTACAGGATGAATCTTCAAGATTAGTTTATATAGTCTGGGGATGATTCTTTTGATCATCTTTGCATAGTATAGATTATTGTTGGCTACTTTTAATTTTTCGCCCAAGATCCGCCTGGAGGAGGACATGCCCGACCTAAGGCCACTGCCATTGGCCCTCGCACTCCTGCGCGACGCCAGGGCCCGGGCGGTGGGGCCCGCGCGGGGCCTCGGCTGACGTGGCCAGCGGTCGGGCCAGCGCCGAGGTGCGTGCCGCGAGGCCGTAGCCTTGCAGGCGCGGGCGTCGGTGCCCTGTCGTGCTGGCCGGCGTTCCTGGACCCCCTCGCGTCGTAACAAACGTCGCGACGGGAGGGTTTTAATACATTGTCGGTCGCGGGGGGCCCTCGCTGGGAGTCTCCAGCAGGGCTGCGTTGGATCGAGGCCCTGGTCAAGGGGACGGCCTCACGGCCACCCCTCATTACGAGATTCGAAGACCCGTGGCCCGAGGTCTCACCAAATGTCTTCCCGTTCCCGTGATGGAGTGTAGCCCTAAACACCGCCCAGGACTACAACTCCTCCACTTAACCGCAGCTGCCATCTGCCTAGCCCTCCTCATCCTCCTACTCCTCACCCTGTCGCAGACCTCCTTGCGCACGGGCCTTTGCTTCTCTCCCAGTCCCTACTCCCTTGCGCCGCGTTTCGCTTTCGCCCCCGCTCCCAGTTCAGGTTCGCGTTTTAGCTACAGCGCGTTCTGATCACAGTACTGGCTGATGCGCGAGAGGTGTCTCGGGCTGCGCTTGGTGCCACCAAGAAGCTACTGCTCTTGCTTTCGCTCCTTTCGCTCATGCCGCTGCTTCCGCGCTTCTTGTCGAGGCCGGGAACATGTCCACTACATCTGCTGCGTTATGTTTGTCCACCACTGAATTTAACTGGCAAGTGGCGGCCCAAGCACAGCGCGTGTCTATCTATTGGAGGTGAGGGGGTGAGATCGAAGTGGAACGGAGAGCCCCCCTACCGGGAAATCGGTTTCGGTTTCGTGTTCGTGCGTGCCGTGCGTGCGGGCGAGGCGAAGGTGCGTGGACGGGCGAGAAATTAGTTTCCTATAGCTGAGGCGCGGCCGGACCAAAATCTCCCTTCCGGCAACCGGTGCCCCGCGGTGTCCCGCCGGTGTCCCGCTCGGGGGCCGGTGGCGCGCGGTGTTCCACTGGTGTCCCGTCGGTGTCCCGATGATGATGATGATGATGATGATGATGATGATGATGATGATGATGATGATGATGATGGTGATAGTGATGGTGATGATGATGATGATGATGATGATGATGATGATGATGATGCTGGCGATGATGATGATGATGATGATGATGATGATGATGATGATGATGTTGACGGTGGTGATGATGATGGTGTCCCGATGATGATGATGATGATGATGATGATGATGATGATGATGATGATGATGGTGATGATGATGATGATGATGATGATGATGTTGACGATGTTGATGATGATGATGATGATGATGGTGATGGTGTTGATGATGATGGTGCCCCGGTGATGATGATCATGTTGATGATGATGACGTTGCTGCTGATGATGATGGTGTCCCGATGATGATGACGTGGATGATCCTGATGATGTTGATGATGATCAGATGATGTGATGATGATGATGAAGACGATGATGATGATGATGGTGTCCCGATGATGATGATGATGATGATGACGATGATGGTTTCCCGATGATGATGATGTTGATGATGAGGATGATGATGAGAAGATGATGATTTTGATGATGGAGGCCCAATGATGGTGATGATGATGCTGATGATGATGATGATGATGGCGTCCCGAAGATGATGATGATGATGATGGTGATGATGATCATGGTTTCCCGATGATGATTATAATGCTGATGGTGATGACGATGATGGTTTCCCGATGATGATTGTGATGATGAGGATGATGATGAGGTGATGATGACGATATTGATGATGGTGGCCCAATGATGGTGATGATGATGCTGATGTTAAAGATGATGATGATGATGATGGTGTCCCGATGATGTTGATGATGATGGTGATGATGATGGTGACGATGATGATGGTGTTCCGGTGATGATGATGTTGATGATGCTGATGTTGCTAATGATGGTGATGATGGTGTCCCGATGATAATGAGGGAAATGATGTTGATGATGTTGTTCATGATCATGATGATGAGATGTTGATGATGGTGGTGCTTCGATGATGATGATGGTGTCCCAGTGATGATGATGATGATGATGATGATGATGATGATGATGACCATGGTGACGATGATGGTGTCCCGATGATGATGATGGTGATGATGATGATGTTGATGATGATGGTAATTTGGTGGTGATGATGACGGTGTCCCGATGATGCTGACGATGATGATGTTGATGACGTTGATGGCGATGATGTTGATGATGATGACGTTGATTGTGATATCGATTGTGACATCGATAGTGAGATCGATAGTTAGACCGAATGTGAGATCGATTGTGATATTGATAGCGAGATCGATAGTGAGATCGATTGTGAGATCGATAGTCAGATCGGTTGTGAGATCGAACGAATGAAATAGATCGAGTGATATTGATTGTGAGATCGATCGAGTGAGATCGATCGAGCGAGACCGATAGTGAGATCGATAGTGAGATTGATAGTGAGACCGATCGAGTGAGACGTTGGTTCCTCCCGCCCCCCCCGAACTTCCTTATCACCCGAAGGGTGGTCGTATAGGTATATATATATAATATGAGAGATAGAGGAAACAAAAAAACAAAAACAAAAAAAAGAAAGAGAGAGAGAGAGAGAGAGCGAGAGAAAAAGAGAGAGAGAGAGAGAGAGAGAGAAAAAAAAAAGAGAGACTTCAACACCCGTCGCCCCGAGGACCGGCTGGAAAATTATACACTGGACGTTGTGCTTCGGGTTTCCCGCGAAGCCCAATGGGGCAGGGCCCAGATGCCTCAGTGCATATGTACTCGCTGTTCCCATTTTGCTCCCGCTCGTCTTGTGCCCGAGGGCTCACCGTGAGCCTCGCCCGCCTGAGCCAAAACGGCTACGGGCGTAAGGAGGAGGAGGAGGACGAGGAGGAGGAGGAGGAGGAGGAGGAGGAGGAGGCGAGGAGGAGGAGGAGGAAGAGGAGGAGGAGAAGGAGAAGGAGAAGGAGGAGGGAGGAGGAGGGAGGAGGAGGAGGACCAGTGTAAACCCAATAGCCATCAACGGTTTTGGAATACACCCTCCCTCCACGCTCCCTCTTCATAGGCCCCTACAGCGATTCATTTCCATAGGGTGATCTGCCTCGTTGGAAGACAACCGTTGGAGGAGGGGGTAGGAAAAGGAGGAGGAGGAGGACGAGGAGGAGGAGGAGGAGGAATGAGAAGAGGGTAATGAGGCGGACGAGGAGTTCCGACAAATCAGGGTCAGGATCGTGCCGCGTGTTCGGGAGGTGTTCCCGAGGATCGAGGAAAACAGTTCCGACAGTATGGCACGTCAGGTTTGCGTCGTATCGACCAGCGGCGACCCCGCCGCCAGCGTTCAACGTTCGACGCCGCCGGCGACCAAAAATCGGTCGATGTTGAACGATCTGACGTTTCGGAAACGGCCGATCGTTCAAGGTGGAATGATCCCCGCGGTGTCAGAGGCCAGCGCCGAAGTCGGCACGACACGAGTCCGCCGCATGAGGGCGATGGGGAGGAGGGCGAGACAGGTGCGCTCGCGTCATGTCTGACGTCCTACCCCTCCCGTCCCCTACCATGACGTAGATCTCCACTCTATTCGCACAGTCGGATGTCGCAGCATGGCATAGCATTACTTGGCATATCATGGTGTTGAAGATTACTGCGTAGTATGACATAGCATGGGGTGGCGACGCCCCAAAGTGGGGGGGCTTCTGCGGCCTAAAAATCAACGAATTGATACCGATTGTGTCATCGCTTCCGATATGTTTTTCGGGGGGGGCATTATCTAGATGTTGGGGCTTATTTGGAAGGACAGAAAACAATGCCGTGGCATGGCACTGGAAATAATGACGCCAGCGCCGCAGCGGGAGCACGATTCGGAACGAGCGGAAGCGCGGAAATGAGGCCAGCGTTGCAGCGAAAGCACGATTCGGAGCGAGCGGAAGCGCGTAAATGAGGCCAGCGCTGCAGCGGGAGCACGGAGAACGAGCGGAAGTGAGGAAATGATGTCAGCGCTTTAGCGGGAGCAAACTTTGAAAACAACCCAAGCGAGCACCCAGTTCCGGGGAATCCGGTGTGTAAAAAACAGTTCGCGGAGGTGGCCAGATATCTTCCGAACGCCATCAGGGGAGAGAGGAGACTAGTATTCATGTGGTGTAATTGTCGACGGAAAGAAGGATCACCTTTGCACGCTTGGCAGGCTGTCGCATAGCTCGACGTTTGCCCTTTTCCGGTCCGCTCTCCTCAAGAACGACGCCCGTGCAGCGTCAGGCCACGCGCAAGAAGGCGAACGCGGACTACGAGGATGCCGTGCGAGAGATGGACCAGGCGCGGTAGGGGGAGGGAGGATCAGGAGGAAGAGACGATGGATGAGAATGATGGCGATGAGGAGAAGGACGAAGAAGATCCCGAGGAGGGGGAGGAGGGGGATGAGGAGGAGGAGGAGGAGGAGGAACTCGAGGAGGAGAAGGCTGACGCCGTTCCAGCGAGGCACCAGGCTGGCGTCCCCGCGAGCCAGTGCGTGTCGGCGGGGGCCTCCTGCAGTCCATCTCTCGGGCTGCGGGAGGCCAGCCGGGCCGGGGCGGGGTGGCAGCAGATGCGCACGACCAGAACGGGCCACATGGCTTCCGCAAGGCGCACCATCATTTCACCGCGTCGTGTTGGTGCTCTCTCGGGCCGTCCTGGGGCTTCTTGCGCCGTCTTGGGGCCCTCTTGGCCGTCTCCGAGGTCTCTTGCGGCCGTCCCGACGGGGAGAAGGCGCCCAGGTCAATGCATTACGGCTCGATGATGTTGGCCTCCTCGGGCCTTGCTGGGGGCTATCCTGTGGGCCTTTATAGGGCCGTCTCGTGGGCCCTCTGGGCTGTCTTGGGGCCATCTTGGGGCCACCTTGGGGCCATCTTGGGCCGCGCTGGGGGGCACACGGGGCCACCACGGCGGCCTTGCTTGCCTGCCTCGGCAGCCTCGGAAGCTCGTGCGCGCGAGCCCATGGTCTTTGTATGCGGCCTCGTGGCCTGCGGGAGCGCGGGCCCTGTGTTCTGGGTGCTCGAGACCGTGCCCGCGGGAGCGCGGACCCCATCCATGTGCCACGCGCGGTCGCGGCTTCGGCGGGGGGGAGGCGATGCATGCAGAACCTCGTTTGCGAGAGAGGGGGAGGGGAGGGTCCCCGAGGAGATGGCAGAGCTGGTGCCAGGCAGCACTTGGCACCTCACCGCGCGGCAGCGTGCCAGGGGGCACGCTCTCGAATGATGTTCCAATGCAGCAGCTCTTCGGGTGGTGCTGAGTTTCGGGCGACGCGTGTGCCGTTCCTCTTGCAGCAGGCTTCGGGTAGGGTTGGCAATATCTATACTCTCCCAACTCTGAGAGTTCGTTCTGGCGCGTCAGCCGTCAATTATTTTACGTGTGTTCTAGCTCACCCAGCTTTTACACGTTCTGGTGGTCATTGTCCTACATCTATTGTTTTCTCTTGTCCATACACGTGTCTAAGTGTTCTGGTCATCGTATACATTGTTTGCTCTCATCCATCCAGCGCTCTTGCGTATTTTCCAGGGGCTGATACGGTGTGGGGGGCGTTCGTTAAGGAATGTGCCCAAGGGGCTGTAGACCTTGGGGGGTCCTTATCCAATGGGGGGGCGGTGATATCCATGGCCGATACACGATTGAAGTTCCACTGGCTTCCAGACCCTGGATTCCTTGTTTAAGGGTTCCTTAGCCAATGCCCCCACCGTAGTCCGTAGCCATTTTGGCTCAAGGCAATGAACCGCCCCGACGACCGCGAGTCTTTCGGGGCGACTAAGCGCGAGGGAGGTTCTGCTTTGAGGCTACCTTCCTTTCCAACAAGTGTGAGCTGCCACTGCAGCACCCTGGACCTGCGGGTCACGGCTTCTTCTGTGTCGGCGGGTCCGCCCCCGTCGGCACCTGCCTGCTGCGCGCCCGCGGCTGAGCAGCGCGCCCGCCCGTTCCGGCGATGGGGCCGAAGGCCGAGCCTGGCTTCGTCGTGTGCACGGGCTGCCGTTTCCGCTGGAACTTCCGCAGGAATGCGAAGTGCTGGCTGTGCGGGATCGGGCTGGAGCTGGCGCCCTCGAAGCCTTCGCCCCGCGTCGGGGTCTGGGCGGACGATGGCGGCGGCGGCTCCCAACCCGCACTGCGAGGAGGCGGCAGCGGAGGCCCGCCGAAGAATGGCGCCAAGGGCGGCAAGGGCGGCAAGGGCCGTGGAGGAGCCTCCCGTGGCGGCGGTGGTGGTGCAGCCTCCCGTGGCGGCGGCGGGGGCGCGGGTGGCCGTGGCGGAGGCGCCTTCCCGAAGGCCCCCTGGTCGGCCCCCCCCGAGAGCGAGCTCGAAGCGCTCCTCGCCTGCGGGGACCCCGCCATCGCGGCCAGGCTGCAGGAGGCAGTCCGTGACGCGCGGGGCTGCGTCGCGCCCGCGGTCGCCCCAGCTCCGAAGCCGCTCGAGCAGAGGCTTCAGTCGGCCACGGCGAAGCGGATCCACCTCCAGCGCCAGCTCGACGAGGCGGCGGACGCGCTCGTGGCGGCGGAGGACCACCTCGCTCTGTGCCGAGGCTGGCGCGACGAGGCGGCGGTCAACCTCGCAGAGGCCAAAGAGGAGGAGAACGCCCTCCTCCGCCAGCGAGCCCAAGCGGCTGGTGTCGTGGGCGCCCAGCCCGATGGAGCGAGGCAGCTCACCTTCAACTTCGACGCGGAGTCATTCGAGAACTTCGCGGAGCTGGAGGAGGAGGCGCAGGCCACCCTCAGGCGCCTCTGTGACGAGGGGCCCCAGATCATGCAGGGGGCGCAGGCTATGTTCGAGCGCAACTGCCAGGAGCACCAGCAGCGCATCAAGCGCCAGATCGAGGAGGAGGTGGCCAAGAAGCGCAAGCGCACCGAGGAGGGGCCTGCAACAGCCGTGGCCGCTGGCACCCCCGTGCGGGGCGCGGCCGCCCCGCCGCAGCCAGCAGGACAGGCGGCCGCCCCTGCTGCTGCCGCCGCCCCAGCAGCAGGCGCTGCGCCTGGCGCAGGGCCCCCCCCAGCGGCCGCCGTGGAGAGCCGAGCGGCAGACGAGGCGGCCCGACAGCGCGCTGCCGACCAAAAGGCTGCTGCGGCGGCCCCTCCACCTGCTGCTGGCGCTGCTGCTGGCAGCGGCCAGGCCCGCGGGTAGCACCCTGCTGCCAGGCGGCGGCCCCGTAAGCGCGGCGCCGCCCGTCCCAGACGGGGCTGAGGAGGCAGAGGCGGCGGCGCCCAGCCGCCCCGCGGCGAAGGCGGCGCCGAGCGGCGGCATGCACGCCTACCTGGCGGCCAACGTCGAGGCCGACGCTGGGGAAGGGCTTCCCTTCACTGGGCCGCTGCTGCGCCAGGGCCGACGCTCCGACGATGCGCGCCATGGTTCCAAGTTCAAGGCGCTCAGTAGCAGGACAGAGCCAAGCGCTGCGGCGGACTTGGATGGGCCCGACCGAAGGACTGGCAGCCCTCAGCCCAGCCAGGGGCCCATGCGGAATAGTGGGTACCCAATTCAAGTTGGCGAGGCTAAGGGCGAGGGCGTGAGACCCCCTGAGGTTCGGAGCCCCAAGGCGGCGGGCAGCCGCCCGCCTGGCGGCCGCGCGGGCGCCGCGGCAGCCGCGAAGCCTGCAGCCCAGCCCCAGCCAGGGCGACCGCAGGCCAAGCCCCTCCAGCTGGCCAAGCTGCAGCGCAAGGAGGCTGTCAGGAAGCTTAGCCCCCTCACCAAGTGCTGGCGCTGCCTCGGGAGGATCGCCAGGCAGCTCAGTGCGGCTGCTACCGTCAGCTCACCCCCTGAGGGGCACGGGGGCTACATGAAGCACCTGGTGCAGGTGGCCAAGAGCTTGGGGCCCAAGTTCGAGCAGGCGGGCTGCTCCATGTTTGAAGGCACTAAGCTGGACTCGCTGACTGCGGTGATCCAAGAGCCCTCTGTGCAAGGGCAGGCCTTCCTGCAGATGATCGAGAGCGCGGCGGCGAGACTCTGCAAAGAAGAAGCCAAGGCGGCCAGGCTGCGCTGGATGGACTACGTGGACGTGGCCTCGACGAAAGGGGCGAAAGGAGCCCGCGATGTCATGCAGGACCGCGATCAGGTGCTGGACTCGGTGATCGCGCACTGCCCCGACTGGCTGACGCTCCCCGTTGTAGTCCAGCAAGCCCAGAACCACATCCGCATAGAGTGGAAGGCCCTCTGGAAAGAAGCCGATAGGGAGCACAGGACCAGACCAGCCGATTGGATCTGCTCCATGGTGCTGCCCCCGTTCACGGTGGGCGACAGCCACGAGGCGGCGAAGTCGCTCCCGAAGCAGACCGCTCTGGGCTGGGATGCGTTCCACCCGCGGCTGGTCCTCTCCCAGGGCAGGCCCTTCGCCGATAGGGTGGCAGAGGTGCTCGCGGCTTGGGTGTTGCAGCCGCAGCCCACGGCCCTCTTCACCACGGTGTTTCTCTTCCTGGGGAAGCCAGACGGAGGCCGCCGCCCGATCGGCCTCAAGGGCAAGTGGTTGCGCATCTGGTGCAGGGTGCGCCGCCGCTACGGTGTCAAGTGGGAGAAGGACCACCAGCCCACTTTGGTCTGGGGCAAGGATGCGAACAGCTGTGACATGGCGGTCTACCCACACAACCTGGGGCTCGCGCTCGCCCGCCAGCTTGGCTTTGGGGCAGCCTCAGTCTATCTCGACGGCAAGTTCTACGCGCGGACCGACCACGACCGTTTCAAGCGAACTGCCGAGTTGGTGAGCTTGATGGGCCACCGCTACGAGGAGCTCTTCTGCCAGGACCTCTTCGTCGGCGCCCAGTACCAGGTGCAGAGGCCGCGCTGTGACCCTGGCGGGGCGCGCCGCTCGCGCGGCTGGGACGCGGGCGCACTCGTGGTGCCCGCGGGCACCCTCGTCTTCACGGACGGCTCCTGCGTCAACAACGACCTGATGATCAGGAGCGCGGTCTGGTCGGTGGCGGTTCTCACGACCGTTGGCGAGTGGGCGGTGCAGGCGAGGGGTGCGGCGCCGTCTGCCCTGAAGCTCATCCCCTCCCGTTCGCGGGCGGCCATCGAGCGGGGCGACCTCATGGAGGTGGAGCTCTTCGGCAACCGCCTCGTGGGCCAGCTCGCGAAGGCGGGCGCGGCGATGCACGCCATCGCCGACGAGGAGGCCCGCCTGCTCCAGGGCTGCCAGGCCCGCGCCCGCATCGCGGCGCGCTTCGCCGCCGAGTTCGAGGTCCAGGACACGGAGTCGGGCTTGCGGGACCTCGCCCCCTACATTGCGGCGGAGCTCGACGGCGAGGCCGACCCCCTGTTCGCCGCCGCGGCGGAGCCCGCCCCTGGGACAGGTGGATTCAGCCCACCGAAGTCG